AAGACGGGTCTGATTTAGAAAATATTGCCCTGGAAGTCTACTCTTTATCGAATTCCAAATGCCAATGGTTCTTTTACCAATGGTTGTTTTGTGTCCCACCCGAATGACCAGTAGGCCCTTTTCTCGCCTGTGTATATTTCTTTTTATCAGTAATATTGGTGATTTTGTTGTGACTAGTAACTTGAGGTTGTAGTAAACTTGTTTATCTACATCAATGCCGGATTAACCATGGTGGGGGCCCTGGGGCCTGGAACATGTGGGGGGCCCCTGATCACCGACCGCAAAGCTGTGGCCGGGCCGGGCCGGCCACCGCGAGCGCCAAAGTCGCGAAGCCCCGCAAGGGGGTCTGGGGGGGGGGGGGTCTCCCCCCGGGAATTTTTCAGAAATTGGAGGCCGGAAACGTGATTTGCTGGCATTTCAGGGACTTGTGCGGAGCCATTTAGAAGTACCTACCCCAGAAAAAAATAAAATTCTGCCACAAAATTAGCGCATTCTGGCGTTATTTCAGTGGACCAATCAATGCGAGTGCTATGAAATGATGGCATTTCTAGAGGAGGGGGCTGGACGCAATTGAGATCTTTGTGGGGGGCCCTCTAATGTGGGGGGCCCTGGGGCCTGTGCCCCATGGTTAATCCGGCGTTGATCTACATCCGTGATTCTCAACAAGCGTACTATGAGGGGGTGGGGGGACTTTGCCCAGATAGCGGCGGCGTTACGGCCTACCGTTATATCGAATTCCAACTATCGGGGGGGGGGTCTTTTACGTGCACGACAATATCTACAGTGGAGCTCGGTTATTCGTCCCATCCGATCGACTGTACGATATCCCTTGCCAGGCCCTCCGTCCTGCACCAGATGTCGGGTTAAAATGTCGGGTTGTCGGACTGTCGCCTTATGAAGGGCGACATCACGACACCGCATGATACCAACCAGCCACCATAGTTTATTGTAGATGTTGTTTTAAAACTAACTATTTAGCATGATTACATGAAAGGTAATAGAATCGTTGAGCAATGATCAAGTGTGGAAAGCTGCGAAGAGGATGGACATACTTGAAAGTAGAAATATCTCATTATCGAGCTGATTGAACATATTTCTATCATTCAATAGCGAAGATATAAATACCCCCGTTCACCATTATAAATCGTCTTGAACCAAAGCTAATTTACGACATCTAACAATCTGCAGCTATGCATGACCTCGCCTGCCATCTGTCATTCTATATCGCGCTTCAATTGGTGACCGTAGTTTGATCCGAGACCCAATAGCTCCCCAAGTCTTGGACAGATGGCTGGTAGTCTCCCTATCTCACTGACCCATGTATTAATGCCTCACTAAGCTTAAGAAGAATGAAAGGCTGTTAGAAGGATAGATCTGTGTTAATATCTTTTATGCATCCATAATGTCTGTCAAAGGGGGCCATTCGATAAATTAGAAAGACTCTAGGGGCGTTTAATTTATTTTGATCAAACGAAAGTTTATGTCATTTCTCAAAGTATCCAAATATTGTAAAGCCACAATCCAAACTTAAATTTATATTTAAACATTTTACGACCTAGTAAACAGATTAGGTCAGCAAGGCGTATGTCATGCGCACATCATTATTTAATTTTAAACAAGGATGTTTACTACATTTTGTTTACAATACGAGCCTCATAATGTGTATAGGACCGTTTCCTGGGCGATAAACCACTTACAGCCTCGAGCAGTTCAACAACATGTCCACTAATAGACTATTAAATTTATTCAGCATTTTGACAAATACGATTTCGTTGCTTAAGTCAGAAGTATCAGGGAAAAAAATGTTTGACACTATGGATTCATTATTTTTAAGTTTCGTAGAATAACGATTAAATCAGCCCCACGTCTCAGGTTTGCTAGCCAACAGAATGCTTTGCGACATAACAAACGTTTCCATTAAAATCGTGTGTAAGATCATATCTATGAAAACTATTTTTCAGATTCGAACATATTATTTGAAATGTACAGAACTGAGATTAGTATTTAGCAGCAATATTTTATATAAGTTTGTTACAAATACTAAGATAGTAGTTGAGATAAGTCTATAATGTCTTAACGTTTTCCTCGCTTTTTCTTTGCCTTTTTTGATTGACAACCGAGTCCAAGGAATAAAGTTTACGGTTGCTAACACAGAGATGTTTAAAAATACATAAAGCAAACGAGAGAGAGGGAGAGAGAGACACAGAGAGAGAGAGAGAGCAATGTGGTTTAACGTCCACTCGACAAAAACTAGGTCATTTCGGGACTAACATATGATTCAATTTTATTTCAATAATTCGCTTGCGCGTAGGGTTGTTCAGTAGTAGGGGGACCCGGAGAAAACTCACGAGGTTGGACAGACGACCCACTCCTTGTCACGTTCAAGCGGGGAGTCGAAACCACGCCACCTCACTCAATGACAGACCCTGTGGTTTCACGCGCACGCGTTAAACCACTAGACCACCCAACCCCCCAAAATTGCGTAGAATTGTGTGCATTTGAATGAAAATAGGGAACTTAAATGAAAGAAACAAAACTACTGTCGGTGCCAAATCACCGTCATATCACACTGCATGGTGTATGACCATCTTCATTAGCCCCATTTCCTTTCATTTCATGTCTTTCAACTCTTTACCCGGGCCAAGAATGTTTACAACAAATAGTCAGTTGTCGTGATCAAACGGTTTATATGTATTCGACACTCATCATTTACGTTATTTATATGTTACTCATGTTTCGATATAGATCAGTTTCTACATTACACAGGGAAGTACATGAAACATAAGTAGGTAATCGACATTGTCCCATTTTACTCTTTAAACCCTTTTTATGGTTTCTATGGAAATGATTTAAAAATTTCATTTTAGATAACATTTCAACACCATGATTACTGTTTAAAAAAGATTGTAAAAACAAATCAAATCTACATGAGATATCAGTTTTTTTTATATTTAATTCAAAATTTAAAGAAGTTGACGAATTGGACAGTACATTATAGCCTACATTGGTGTAACGATAACACTTAAAAGATAAAATTGTTCAAATTTACAGAATTTTGTGTGATCTCTTGACATGTATGTCACCCAGGTCACCGTTGTTTACAATGAGTGTTATCCTGCGGTAATCAAACACTTTTTGTGTAACGAAACATATCAGTTTAACTGTCCAATAAAATAGACCACACAGCCCATAGAATGCATAACGGTCTGGGACATGTTTTACAAAATTTTAACTAAGATAAAATCCAAATTTTAGTAATTTGATTGGATAATATTAGATTGATTTTAGTGCTTAGCCAATCAAAATTGAAGTATCTACTAAAATTTGGATTTTATCTTTAGTATGCATGGGAGGGAGCCATTTAAAATAACGCCAGTCGGAAGTGTCCGATTTTTGACCAGCCAAGTAAAATTACACGCATCTTCCCTGGGATAATTAATAAACCCACCTTGTGCAAAATATGAAAACATTCTGTTTCTTGTCCTCAGATGTGATTCGTAATATGACTTGGAAATGTTATAATAACACTGTCCGATTTACGAAACCAAACGAATAAACTTTTAAAAAAGCTTTTAAATTTTAAAATAACTTCGCAATGACATGGATTTTTTTTTCACAAGAAATTTTGTGGTGCTGTTTATTTATTATCTGGTAGAGTATTTAATTATGTAATTGACATTTTTGATGACTGTTGCGTCATTATGGATGTTTGTAAAATGGCGATACTCCGTGGACCGATTTTCACTAGGGTATAGAACAGCTAGTTTGTCAAGTCCCCGCCAGACCGGGGTGGCGTCCTTACTCCATTGCTGCGACCGTACAGCGACCAGAAAATGCACACGGTCGCCGACAAACGTGAACACACTGCGAGAAAATGTCCCCAAAAACTTACAAACTTGAAAAAAGTCGCATTCTTACCGCGATCTGTGCGATTATACCGCGTTCTCACGGCGCGCTCGTCACGACCTCTCCGCGCTTATGCCGTTTCTACTGAGATCTATTGGCTTGGCAACGGCGATCATCGGCGAACCCGCGGCGCTCTAACCACGCTCATGGCTTTCTTACCACACGTCTTCTATGTGTATCGTGACTGCACGTGCGTCTGTACCACGTAATCACGGCGACTATATATCAGCTGGTCAGATTTTTGAAAATTTCAAGATGAAGACATACATACTGATGTATGAACTTTGAATCACCTGTTTTTAAAGCAAGTCGTACATGAAAAGCATGGCCGCCGTAGGAGCGTAATGCAAGCTTGGTAACCCCGCCATGGTCGTATTAAGAACTCCATAAACGCATTGGGAACCCAATAAGATCACCATGAGGACGTGGTGCAATCGCGCAACAGTTCTCACTATAACAGTTAAAAACTAGATAATGTAAAGGCAATTTGATGAAAATTTCACTTAAATTGATCCACTATGAACCGAGAATTTATCGATTGAATTTTAGGCCTAGTCGCGATCATCATTACTAAAGTCGGTACGATAAAATACATAGCCTCAATTATCCATTTCTTGATTTAATCCTGAATGAGGGTAGAGGAGCAGATCGGATCCTAATCCAGTAAATATCGCAGGCTAGCGATGACATCGAGGATTGATTATGGTCTGGACAAGTTAATTAATGTCTAATTGATAATTTAGATAACATTTCATGCCTAAGGAAAGACCTACAATAGGCAGATTTAGCTCTTGCATAATGTATGTTTAATTATATTTCTTCAAATTTCTCAGTCAATTGTCCTTCACAAAAGAGCTACTTCCGGTCAATATATTATTTTTATCACTCACAGACTGTTAACAACAAACCTAACTTTATAATAATCAGTATATGGATGAGCGACTAAGACTAAGCACGTGCTTTGGACGGCAGCAAGGGTTGGCGAAAAAAGGCCTATCTAGCCCTCTACCAAGCCACGGGTAAACGAATCTTCAGTATTTTAAGATTTTGATTTACTCACAAAACTGAACAATAAACAATTGTAAAACCCCTACCACTAAACTTGGTGTTAATTCCGGTTACTTAAAATCTATTTCACAATAATACAAAATGTACACAAAACAGTTGTCTTTTGTAGCATCCCCTCCTTAGGAGAAAATCCCTTCCAAGCGCGCAGTGATTAGATCCTCGTGATCATGGGGGTTTTATTCTGGTAATTTCCACCATTTTCTTCATGTAAAAATCAAGTCAATTGGGTTTACTGATCAGCTTGGTGGGTGTCGAATCACCGTACGACATCTGCAATGATTAATAACCCATTATTATTCATAAATTTAAAATAGTTAACATCTTATTATTCCATCTAGCAACCGAACAATCTGTTTGATGTTTTACATTGTATACAATAACTCACTTGAAAACACCTGCCATTTTATTAGATTATTTCAAGTATAAATTCACATATTTGTAAAGTAAAAGAACAGAAATTCAAAAGAAAACAACATATATATTTTATATTTTCACATTTCTTAATACAATCCCTGAATGTTTTTGAAGGACTGGGCTCAAAGGGGGTTGTTTTTACAAAATAAATTGTATAAATTTGTATGTTGGATCGAACCACGTGTGATATACCTACACCATAAAACTACTCTTATAGTTCAAACGTGAGTGTAAAATACACAAGTCGACAAGGTTATGTACTAGTGCATTTTGATCGATATGCTTTTATTCGTTACAAAATCGATCTGGCAAACTGCCCCCCTGTCCCTCAAAAAGAAGGGAAAAAGAAAGAAGAAAACCAAAGGACGCCCGATTGTGGATAAAATGAGTAATTGTTATACTTCACGTGCAGTATTGTGAAGACCCAGATGTGGTCTTTGTTAGGGTTAGCAGTTCTACATCGTCATTCTATTTAACACCCAGATCCATTAAAAAAAATCGAAATTTCAAAAAAAATGTTTTATAGCGATCAAAGACATCTTGTACTGTGTGTACTTTCTAATCTTATTAAACGAAATTATGTAGTATCCACATTATCAAAATTCAAATTACTAATCAATATGATGGCTTATCAGACACGCGTTTATTGGCTTTGGTATAGCTCTCAATATAATTAAATATAACTATCAACCCCAAATTTCCAGTTCATGGGGGCTACATGTTTCATTAATAGGACGTTTCTATGTTGGCAACGCGTCGGTGACCTTTTAATAGATAAGCGCGTTCAATGCGAGTATAAAAGGTTTCAGTTTATATGCGTGTATAGCCTGGTGTTATGAATAATAATACTATGATAGAAAAACAGCAAGAATAACGTTATTAATCTACTCGGTGATAAGACTGAAGTCGTTAACATCACCGGCACGCGACATCTGTCAATCGACCAACCAGATACACTGTTATTCGGAGAGATTTCGGCAGTCACCATGATTGGCACGCGACCACGCGCTCCATATAGGTCACAGCAATCTACATGTATGGTGTTCTATTTCGGCCACAACGCGCGTCGCCTTTGAAAAAGGTAACGCATGAAGCAAACCCCAAAAACCTCGTGTCGCTTTTTTTCAGTGTTATGGCATGGAGGAAATAAACGACGCCGCCTTTCCAAACGCAATGCGTCGCCCTTTCCAAATGGAATTTCATTGATGGTGTCAAAATAGATTTCAGTTTAAGAACATCAAAATTATTGCATTATTTACACGCTAATTATTGAGTATCTAAAACTATATTATGTCAAGTCAATGATTTGTATATGGTTGTTTTCAGATGTAACCTTATAGAATTACATTCAGTGATATATACAGTCATACACAGCTCGTGTATAATATACGACCTAGATAGCAGAAACTTTTTAAAAAGGCACCCTCTTTACTGTGTAGCACATAATATGGCCATCTGAATACTAATTTAAAAACGCCGGCGTGGTTAAGCCAGTAGAGTGTAACGTTCATCCGAACTATAAGCCACGGTCGAGTTAAACATATATTATGTAAGAGCTCAATCTGCCTATTGTAGGTCTTTCTTTAGGCCTGAAATCTTAAATAAACTATTAATTAGACATTAATCAACGTATCCAGACCATAACCAACTCTCGATGTCAACGCTAGCCTGCGATATTTGTTGGATTATGATCCGATTTGCTCCATAACTTTCCTTCTCGATTTAACGATTAAATGGATAATCGAGACTATGATTTTTGTCGTACCGACTTTAGCAATGATGACCGAGGCTATGCGGAACTTTCGATCGCTTATTTCTCGGTTCATAGTGGATCAATTTGACTGAAACTTTCAGCAAATTGCCTTTACATTATCTAGTTTTTAACTATTATATTGAGAACTGCCAACTCGTTATCTAATCTTCCATACTGATCTTTAATTACCCACGAATCTATTAGTTTGGAGGCTCATAGTGCAGGGGGGGGGGGGGGATCAAATTGGCACAAAACCAGATAAATTTTAAATGTTCCTATTATTAATTTGAACAGGTTTCGCTTTAGTTTTTATATTTTACGTTGACATTTATTACTTTAAATCTTCCTAGTGCTAAAACGGAAAACGTGACCTTTTGACCCCTGGGGTCACAAAGAACAAAGGTGAATTTAGCAAGTTTACATTTTTATTGAAAGTGTGATTACTTTCGATCATTTTCAGCTTCTGTTCATAATACAAGAATGACTGCGCATTCACTTTCAGTGCAGATGAACCCATTTGACCCTTGACCCCGAATATCTCGAAAACGTCCCAACGGCGGACTGATTACCACTCGGCATCGTATTCGACGCAAAATTTTACTCTAGAAAGGCTGGGTCTGGTTTTGTGCCCATTTGATGGACCCCCCCCCCCCCCTCCCCGCGCGCTGAGCCTCCGGTCTATATACTTAAAACCGCAAATTTCCACAAAAATTAATGAAAGCTGAAGCCATCTCGCAAACTAGTAGTGAGTTAGGTTTTTTTAAAACAACTTCGGGTCTGGCCATTACTAGCCAACACCATTGGGCCCTCTCAGTGTATTGCGAGTCCGGTTTTAGTCGAAAGGGTACCTCGGTACGGGAAGGGGGTGGGGTGGTATACACACACAGAATTGAAGTTAGTACTATGTCAGCCATTTAACAACTGAAAAAAAGATGTTTCTAACGATCAGAAAAAAAATATATATATTGTTGGTTACTGTCCCTTTCATGAACTGCTCAATAGTGGACATACATGACGTGCAAATTATTTCAGTATTACATCGAACAATGTGTCTCTGTCGATCAGTGGGTACGTGGGTGCGGGCGATGTGTGTGTGTATATGGTTGGGGAGGGGGTCGAGACTTGAACTTCGAGAATTTTCCCCTTTTTACAGCGGTTTCTTCCCCCTGTTAAAGATCCATGTGCACGGGCGAAATATGGAATAAATGATGTGTTGAGTGCAGGTTAAACACACACATGTACTCTTCCTCACTCTCCCGCTTATCCCCATTTCCATAACATTTGTTTATCTTTTCAGCCACATTTAACTATGCTTATTTTAATTTTGTAAGCACAAGCTGACGCCAGTGTTATGTGAAAGGTGCCTTCAACATTGATACTTAAGGGAGTCCCTTCAACATTGATAAAAGGGCCACAACTCTGCTTAAATGCCCTTAACGTCGTTTGATCCGCACTTTTTTTTTTCATTAAATGAAATGAAATGAAATGGGGTTTAACGTCCTACTGTTCTGCTCCTAAACTGGGCTAATGAAGACGGGCATACGCCATACAGTGTGCTATGAGGGAAATTTTGCCCGGGCAGCGGCGCTACGGCCTACTCTTATATGAAATTCCAACTGCCAAGGAATCTTTTACGTGCACGCCAATATGTACACGGGGCCTCGGTTTTTCGTCCCATCCGAACGACTAGACAGCTGTCCTTGTCAGGCCCTCCGTCCTGCATCACGCCGGAAAATCTGGTTGAACTTTCTCGGCCAATGCAGGGATCGAACACCCGACCTCCAGGCTCGCTTGTGATCCCCCTTTTTCATTAAAGAGGCCCTGTTTTAAAGAAGAAAAGAGATAGTTACCTAAGCCATTTGTCATCCCCCGGTCCGACAAGGAAATGGTTTCCGCCCCTGTGACGCAAACTTCGTACGTTGAATAATATGTATTCTAAATAACATGTATTTTGGGGAAAATTTATCACAAAAAAACAGAAACGTGACGGCATCGAGTTATGTACAATGAAGAGAATATTATTTCAATATCGTCACTGACGATAAAAGAATTTCTCTTGTCATGTTGTCATCGTTCGTACATCTTAATTAATCTAGTTATTGATAGTCTGAGCAGTATAATGCCATCTGCTATGATTTGTTAAATTATTATTATTCGTGTGCTGTTATCTAAATGCTGTTGAACTCGACCAGATTTTCACAATCGTAAGATTATCGGTGTCGTATAAGAATTAACAAAGTTATCCAGTGTCGGAAGCATTTATTACAATAGAAGGGTTTTTTTCGGCCGACATAGACCGACTCTAGAGATGCCCCTGTCGTCCTCACGAAACCAGGACAATTCAATACTTGTTGAATAGTTCTTGTTAGTAAGGTTTTTACAATACCAGTCTTATCCCGTCTTACAGAAATTTATAGAAAAAAAAAATTATATTTGTATTAGTACTGTTGTTGGCATGTTCCTTTAATATCGGTTTTAATATTAGACTTTTAGAGTGACATCCACTTAAGAAAACAGTTCCGTTTACAAAATAAAGTCCCCCATGCTAGTCCCAGCCAAAAAATCCCAACAACAACATTAGTGTTTTAATTTAAATATTTATCCACTGCTTCCTTCATTCTACTTGTTTTCTTCCCAGACATGTTATTTGTTTGGCTTTATTTACTGAAAGACTATAGAGCTACAAAGTAGGGCATACTTGGCCTATCTTATGTCGGGGTCTGTCTTGTGACTGTTACGTCACTGTCTGAATCCAGTTGTTTACATATTGGCCAATATCAGAACATCAAATAATTCATACATGAATATAAACGTTAAAATATGTAAATTCGAACCAGTATTATTTTATCTATTCTTTAATTTATGACAATCTGCAGACCTATCCAGTAAAACTCAATTGCAGTCGATAACTATTATTAGTAACATACGGCTATGAAAATATAAAAGTAATCCATTTTAAATGGCAAGCAGACTATGGTAAATAGAATCTTATCGTCTCATGAAGTAGTCCAACGAGCACTTGATTTCAACAAGGGGGTTCAGTGCTAACCAAGACCCAAATTAATTGCGGAGTAACCGTTGATT